TGTGTGTGTGTGTGTGTGTATTTGAGTTGGGTGTATGTGTGTGTGAGTACACGTGTGGTAGTAAGTGTGTGCATGAGTGTGTGTTTTTATCAATGCTTGTCTCACAAGCGAACACTCACAACAAACAGCATGTATCACCGTTGCACAGATGACGGAAATAGATAAAAGAACATCCGATTGGAGACTGAAAGTGGGAATTTCCGATCCTTTTTTTCCAGGAATGGGGCAAATCCTTTTAACAAAATTACTCTGATCAGAGATTCGGTTTCAAATCTTTGTTTCTCTTCAGCTGCACACCAAAGCGTGTTTGGTTGTATTTTAGAGTTGTGAAATCAGCATTTCATTTGTTTAAAGAGCGAGGAAAACATCACGCGTTGTGTTTCTCGAATTTTTAAATTTGTTGTTGTTTCTTACTCTTTGTTTATTTTATTATTAAAGTTTAAAAAACCATTGACAAATTACTTTTTTCTTCCCAACATTAATAATTCTCTCTTCGCTAATTTGATTCGAGTTTGCAGCTCTGATTTCAACAGCTTGGTTTTTGCTTTTGTTTTTATTTTATTTTGGGGTTTTGTGTTTGTTTGTTGTTGTTTTGTTGTTATTTGTTTACTTTTGGGGGGGGGTTGGGATGGGGTTTTTTTTTACATTTAATGGCTGAACAATATGTAGTCCTATAATAATGTCACAGTACTCCCAAAACAGAATGCACAGTGTTATTAGTGTTATGAAGAGTGAAAAATTGAGGAGGTTTTGAGGGGAAAAGGAGGGGTTGGGGGGGTGGGTTGGGGACCATGATTATATCATGTAGCCTAAGCCCGGCTTCGTGCTTTAATCGTATAAGCAAATCGTCATCATCATCATCATCATCATCCTAAACCGCAAGGATCTAAAAAGAGTTGAGACTTGTAGAATATAAAAGAAAATGTTATAAAGGTTCAACGTTTCGCCCGATCACCCCCTTCATGCATAAAAGTAATGTTAGATCTAATGACTACACTAGCTAGATCTATTATCATCGTCATATCATCATCATCTTTATCAGCATTATCGTCGTCATTGCCTTTCTCGCTCGTCTAGATCCGTGTATAAGCCACGGACAAACACTTTCCATTTTTCCCTATCCTGGGATAGTTTCCTGACATTCTTCCATGTCTTCCCACTTTTCTGTTCAGCATTCTCCGCGACTCTTCTCTGGTTTCCACGTGGCCTCCCACCTGGTGTGAACAAATCACAGAAATCAAAATTGCTACGCCATTTCTTCTAAAGTCAAAACATTCTTACCAGAAAAACTGAAGGTTATATATTATATTCTGCTTCCTGCTCGATGTAAGTTATCTCTATTTTTTTTCTCGGCGTGATTGTATGTGTTGGCGTTTCTGTCTGTCTGTCTGTCTGTATGTCTGTGTGCGTGCGTGTGTGTGAGTGTGTGTGTGTGTGTGTGTGTGTGTGTGTGTGTGTGTGTGTTTTCTGTGTGTTTGTGTTTGAGTGTGTATGTTTGTGTGTATATTATTATGTTAATTAATGTATGTATGATCAGGATGATTGTGACAGAAAGAGAGAGAGAGAGAGAGAGAGAGAGAGAGAGAGAGAGAGAGAGAGAG